GATGGTTTCGTTGTCAAAATCCCTGCTGCAAATCAACCCTGCTCTCCTTTTGCCAGGATATTATTTGAGCGTTTTCCCGTGTTTGTTTCTGTCCTCGGTTTTGTCTGGTTATGTTGACAGAAAATGTTACTGATTTGCCAGTGGGATCGCATACACTCACAGCGCTCCCTCCTCTTCTGACCGAGCCACCACAACAACCAAGTACCAGGACAGTGCGCTGGGCCAAAGCCAAAGCAGATTTCTATTTAAAGTCAAATAATAAATAAAATCACCCAACAACTCCTTTTCAACATCCCTTCTGCGAGCTTGTTGTTGGCTTGAGGTTTGCTGTTCCAAGGCTGAGAGCTGATTGAGTCAGACAGTTGTAAAATTGAATCCGACTTGGGGTTGATTGCAGTTTTTTCCCACATTTCTCATGTGTTTTCCTCTCTCTCAGCCTCTTCTAACTTGAGTTCGGTTTCCCAGGTTTCAAATAGTCACAACACTGTGGTGTGTTCTTACATAATGCCATAAAACCTTGATATTTTTGTATTTTGGTCACGTTTGCAGCTTCGGGAATACAGGACAGTCTTCAAAGTCGCAGCAGAAATATCCTTCCATCAGAAATTGTATTGCCTGTGCCTGGAGGAGTTGAAATAGTAGCTTCCAGCAACGGGCCAAGGAGATGTGCAGTGCATTAAGCAGTGGCTCTGACAATCCCATCTGTCCTGGAAGTTTTTCATTCTGTTACTGCCGTAAAACAAGCAGAACTCCAAAGAAATTCAAGTCCCGTGACTCCTAGTTCAGCGAAGCTAGGGAAAATACGTGAATGTTTCCTTCCTTGTTCAAGTTGTTCTCTTTCTGTAGCTTTTTTTTGGAGTGTATTGGCTGAGGTGAATTAATGGCTTTATTACAGTGGCTTCCAGCTTTATTTGGCTTCATTTTAGACTTGATTTAGGAGCATGGTTTGTACTTTACTTTCTTAATTCCTCACGGTGTCCATCATCAGATATGCCTGATACTCAGGTTTGCCTTACAGACAACCAAAAACCTCTTCAATTTCTGGCTAACAAAGCTACCCTGTTCTTCAGTGTCTGTGTGCAGAAGAAAGCCACATCTGAGGATGTTCAGCGCATAACTTCTTGATGTGTTCCTGCTACGGCCGTGTTGTCGAAAGCTTTGACAGCTCTGTAATTGGGCTGGAGATGGAAGGTAGTCTTATTTTGCAGTTCAACACACAGGTTGGGCAATCCAATGGCAAATAAGGCTCCAGAAATGAAGCCTGTATTGTTTTAGGCGTCACAGTAAGAGAACTCCTGAGATCTGGTAATAAAGAGGATATATGACGTAAAACAAACTAAACCTTTTTTTGTAGTGAATAAGGGATGTGCTTTTTTGTCATTAAATCGATGCAATTTAGCATTTGTAGCCTTTTCTCGCTGCAGTGACCTTCGGGAGGTCGCAAAGTGTCGGAGCTGGGATTAAACGCAGGAAGAGAGGTAAAAAAGAGAAATGAAAGAAAAAAAAATCTGTGTATATAATTTGGCCAGGCACCAAAGGAGACAGATGACTGTGCCTTTTTATTTAAAGGCAGTAAACACTGAACTGGGAAGAAATGTTTTCTGGTCTTACATAGAGAGTACCACTTGTAGGAATAAATGAAGTTGAACCAAGGAATACTTAGGCTGAATATTAGGGGGGAAAAAATCTGAACATCGAGGTTTATTAGATTATGGAACACTCTTCCCAGAGGATGTGGTTGAAGCTCCATTACCAGTCCCTTCAAATTAGGCTGGATAAAATAACAAAATGTGCTGGAGGGAACGCTTCTGCATGGGTAGGGGATGAAGGCAGTTACCTAATCCATCTGCTCATTTCACTCGCTTCCATGATTCATTTCCTGAAAAAACGCTTCCAAAATGTGTCGGTGACATCACGGCCTCAGCCTCCTCAGCCATGTCGATGCTTCTTGGTAGTGCAGCTTTCAGATAGAGTTTCTTTGGGGGGAAAAAAATTAAAAAAAAAATAAGTTATGATCAGAGTCACGGTCTTTGGGACAGCCAGGTTAAAAATTTAAAAAATGTAGAGCGAGGGAGAGCCTTCCAATCATGAAATAAATGTAAACTGATGCTCTGCTGCCTCTTTCAAGTAGCTCCAATAGCTCAGCTGCTCGTTGCAGCTTCCCCAGGCCAGCCTCCCAGAAACTAACCTTTCCTACAGGTTTTACAGTGGCTCTGCTTCTGTACTGCAAGCTAGCTTGAAATAAGATCATCAGCTATGTAAGTATACCTCATATCCCTCACAATTAGCAGTTTAAGCTTCTTAACTACAGCCCTGAGATGTTTAAGGATGTGCTTCTAAAACAGAAAATGACTTGAGACATAGCGTGAGCTCCGTCTTCGTGCAGTATTTGCCTCGCTGATCCAGCCTTTATGATTCCGTGGACTGCTTTTTCCTCTCCCGTTCGTTATTACATAACATCCCCGTGGCAACTTGAGGGATGGCTTACATGGAAAAGTAATCGTAGGAAAGTATTTCTGTATTTTTAGCTGTCTTCTAACACAATGCAGCAGCTGGAGACGAGGGCAGGAGCCAGCACAACGCGAACTGCCAGCTCTCTGGGGGCCACCAGAAAGCCTGCGTCAGACCACAATGTGAGGCTCATTGAATTGACTTAAGAAATGTGACACACGTAATAAACATTTAAAATAATAATAATAATAAAAAAGAAAACCTCTCAAGTTCCCAGGGCGGCTGCTTGGTCATAATAAGGGTGAAATGCTAATGTCAGTGGTTTTGAATGATGCTTTGTTGGCTGGTTTTGGTGGAAGAAGTACGTGATGGTATCAAGTGAATGTGGTGAAAATCTCTTGCTGTAGTTCTTCGTAATTATATTATTTAGTGTTATGGCATCGAATGTTTTCCTGTATGCTCACAAAACAAGGTGTGGAGCTAGGGCTTGATCTGCAGACTCCTGAACAAAGTCAAAAGAGACTTTTGACTTTGGGGAGAGTCAAAATCACAGAATGGCTTGAGTTTGGAAGGGCTCTTAATTTCAGTGCTTTTTGCTCAGTACGTTTTTAAGCACTGTCTGTGTTCTTACCTGTCTTTTGGTTTGAAAGCCTTCGAAATCAAGCTGTCAATATTTTATTTAGTCCCGTGACAATGTAAGTGTACGTAAACTTTTCTCCAGGTAGGTACAAACACGAACCTTACTCGTTTCTTTACTGTTTCTTTACTCGTTTCTTTACTGAAACGAGTAAAGGAGGCTGAGATTTCTACCTCCTCCTATTTACATTAAATAACAGTTTGGGGAAAAGCAGTTCCTTTTTGATGAATGTGTCATAAAATAACTTCATTTTGCCATGAAGTGTTGTTCCACAGGCTGTCAACCTAGATTAAAATCCCAGTCTTGTTTTCATGGCTCGGAAAAGTGTTCCTAACCGTCTTAGAGCAGCTCTTGGATTCGCTATTGCAAAAGCTGCACCTCACCCTTAAGATGAGGTTTTCATTTATCCTGGTAGGAACCACATGAAAATATTGCCTCGTGTTGTTCAGTTGTAGCTGTCGGAGAGCTCTGAAGGTAGGAGTTGATTTTCGAATCTGGAAAGAAACCCAAAAGGGGTGATTTTGTTGTTGTTTTAGGAGATGCTTCAACAACAACTTTGACAGCACCTGAAGTACTGGACTAGTACTGGAGCCCTGTTTGCTTTACCTGCTGTGTTTTACACAGAATTGTATGAAAAGGGGGAAAAATTATATATACACGTGGTGTGTAGTTCTGAGAAAGAGCATGGAAAACGGAGCTGTTCGTTCTGCTTTTGAAAGTAAAAGCAGCGTGTTCCCTCCTCGCAAAGTATTTGCCAGGAATAATTGGCAAAATGTTAATGTTGCTCTAATTGACCCCTTAAAAAAAATAATATCTAGTAATGTGGCTCCCCGTGGAAATGAATAAACGAACAAAGCTGTGTTAGAGAATGGCAATGAAAAGTAGATTGTGTTTTGCAACAGGCAGAACTTCAAGAGGTTACTTGGGTCAGAGATCAACGTGTCTCGGTCATAATGACCTCCTTCTCCCTGGTGGAAGCTTCAACTTTTGCCAGTGCTTTGGCCATCTCCCTCTTGTCCTAAATATTGAGGAAAGCAATGGCAGATGCCAACCACAGAAGGATGGGACGGTGGAAAGCTGAAAAGCTGGCTTAGTTGAGAGTTATACTAAACTTGGAGAAGAAATGTGCTATGTTTGAATTCATTTAACAAATGACATTGATAAATAAATAGTAAATAGGCTGTTGGTTTTTTTTGGTTTTGATTGTTTTTTGACTTTCTTTGCATGTTTCTGGAGCAATCAAGAGTTGAAAAGCAAACTTTACTGTCAACATTTTTCTTTGGCCTCCTACTTCTGATTTGAGGACAACAGATCAAAAACATGGTCATAAAGGGCTGTTAAAGCAACGTGAAATTTTTAAGAGAAGGCTCTAATTATGGTGCTTTTTATCATAAGAGGTCCTCCAAGCTGCTTAACAGTGAATAGCATTAGTTCCCTTTGTCTTTGACGTGACAGTAATTGCCTTGCAACTGTGTTGGTGAAGGGAGCGTTGATTTATTACAAAATCTGCCTATATAATTATATTGGAGAAAAAAATAATATTTGGCTGTTTTGAAATGTTGTTGGGTTAAGAGCACATTCAATTCTTTTGTTTTCCGTTCCAGTAGCCTACAGGTTTTTGTCCTGTGCAACTTGAAGCTGGAAGAGTAGAAGATTGGAAACTCAACTGCTTGGATTTTTCTCGAAGAAAGTACATGAGAATTAATTCTGACTTTTGACATTAATAAATAATTTTAAAGTTGAGATTATTTCCTGTTAGTATCTGTTAACTTTCTTCTCATGGTAGCGGGGTGAAGTGTTTTTTTATTCTTCCATGTACCTGTGTCTCAGATGTTTCTCTCTAAAGAGGGATTTGTTCATTAAAATTTGAACGCCCATAACGTTGTTTATCCCTTCTGCTTTTTCTCTGCAGCTGGCCTGCGGACAGTCTTCACGTTAGGTGGAGTGGGGAGTAAAGCAACGCCGCAGCTGGAGCAGTGCTCCCCTCTAGCTCATCAGAGTCTGCTGCTTCTCCTGGTCTTAGCTAATCTGACTGATGCTCCGGATACACCGAACCCCTACAGACAAGCTATTATGTCCTTCAAGAACACCCAAGGTTTGTATGTTCTTACTTCTAAGCATGAACTGATGAAAAAGAAGCATTAAGTTGCTGGAGATTCCCCTTACAACATTTATTCTCTCTCTAGCAAGCCCATGTAATGCTTTTCTCTGGGATTTTTGAGGTGGAGTTGCCCAGCTGCTGAAACTCAGTTAAAGGGGGAGAGTAAAGAGGATGCTCTTTCCTTCAGACTTGATGAATTCAAGAAAGCTTCATAATTGCAGAAGACACAAAGCTGACTCATAAGCAGGATCACTTATCTGATAGTCTGGAGGAGTCTCCTAAAACTCCATAGTACTTGGAGAAATCCTGGTTAGCTGGCATCACGTCCCTTAGAGCTAAGATAAGCAGTTGAATTTCTAATTGTGTTGCTCGCTTCTTGTACTTCAAGTCTGAAGAGAAATTGGTGAAGTGTAAACGCTTTTATGAGGCTTCTATACAGAAAGTTTCAGACTTTTTATAGTTCCAGGATGTGTGTCAGGTAAGTGTCATGCTGTGCTGACTTAGTGCCCTTCTGCAGAGGTTCTTAGCTGGGACTTTGTAAAGCACTAACAGCTCAGACTGACCTGGTTTATAGCAAGATAGCTCAACATGTAAGTTCATTCACCTTCACATACGATTTTTTTTTCAAATTATTAGGATGTAGAATTGTTCACATAAGAATTTAATAGTCCTTATGTGCCCCTTTGACCTCCTGGATACTGTTTACTGGCAATTGAGATTAAATTTTTGATCAAGGGTGTTGCTTTTTTATTTAACCTGAACATCCGAAAACCTAAACAAATCTTTCATTTTGGTGAACTTTGTTCAGTGTCATCAACAACTAGTGGTTTGTTTCATTGAAAACAGACTTGTATGATTTAAAAATCGCTTTCCCCTTCCAGAGAGGGTGGGCGCTTTGTCAAAATAAGTGGCAAGTGCCACATGCTTCCCCAAGCTGGAAGCAATTTAGAAAGCTTTGCCAAGAGAAAACTGAAGAGAAAGGGGCAGTGGGACACCCACACTTCAGGGGGTGTAGGTAGCGTTCATGTGGTCGATCTCTACTGGTACAGAGATGATCCAGAACAGTGGGAAAATTTTTGTAGGAAAGCATTTGAGAGCCAAATTTATATTGGCTTATAGTTCTGGTCCCTGGGCAATGTTGTGAGCATGTTTCTTGGTGTTTTCCGTGTAATATCTGACAGGTCTTTCAGGCTTGGTGGAAAAAGAAGATTCAGATGATGTGCGGTGGTTGCTGGCTATCACAATACTAGTTAATTATAAAAATGGTTGTAAAAAAGCAGGTTTTGAAATGGGCACGTCTTTTGAGTCTCATCTTCGTCTCCTAAAAATCCACTTCTCTCCACAAATGGTTGTTCAGAAGTAGTAGCATTGCCTCCCTGTTTTCTGCAGCAGAACTTTCCCAAATGAACGCATTTTTACTAAGCAATAACCAATTCAGAAATCTGTAGCCTGTCGCTGCAGGAACTAGGGAATTTTAGTTAAATTCTTCAACTTTGGATGTCTTGTTTGTAGAAATATGGCAATTTTTAAGTCCAGACTTGTAGAATGCTTGAGTACCCAAACTGCTATTGTTCCCAAAATATCCTCCTGCCACGAAATTGCTGTAGCTTTTCCATATGCTCAGCTTGTTGATGTGCTCAGAAAAGATAGCCTTTGTATCCAGTTGCCAAGATGCTGACATAAATCATCCCCAAAGGCAGATTTGCCCAACTTCATGTGTCATCGCATGGTTTGGATGGGTGTTTCCGAGCAGAGCTGGACAGGAGCAGGTTTTAAATTTCTGTGGAGGTTCTTGAGAGCTGAGAAATGGACCTCTTCTGCACTGGAACAAAACTTTTCACTCCCAGAGGTGTTTTGTGAAGATAGCAAAGGCAAAATCTCTGACTTGGGGAGATCAGGAGGCTGAGTGAGGACACAAATCTGGCTTTCTAACATGCTGTATGAGTGCATTGACTGTCAGACTTGTTTTTTTTCCATTTCCTCTGGAAATTCCTGGATCTTCGAGGTGTGTGTCAATGGAAGTTGTTGTTGAAGCTGGTAAAGCTACCTGTGAAAAGCAGAAAACCATTTTGTTCTCACTTCCAGCTCTGCCACGAATTATATTGGGAATATGAACAATTTAATGTTAGCTTAAGTGGTGTTACACTATGTTTTGGGGTGTTTTAAATTATTTTTAATTAGCCTATATGGTTATGACCATCAGTGTAAGGGTGGGTTTTGTTTCCTCCTTACTCTGGTATCTGTATGAAATATTCCACCCAGAGGATTTTCTAGAATTAACAGGTTATCTGCATGGTTAAATCAATATATTTGCTAAAGATTATTTTTGTTTTCTTTATTTCAGATAGCAGTGCTTTTTCGTCATCAAATCCGCACGCTTTCCAGATCAATTTTAACAGCTTGTACACGGCTTTGTGTGAGCAGCAGAGATCTGATCAAGCGACCCTCCTTTTGTACATGCTTCTGCATCAAAACGGCAACGTACGGACATACGTGTTGGCACGAACAGACATAGAAAATCTTGTAAGTGTTCTCCTTGCCTTATACACCTTGTGAGGCGCTGCTCCTGGAAATTTGGGTGTCAGCAGCTTTCAGTGTTCCCCCGTTTTATTGTGGGGGCAATAGGATGCGAGGGCAGCACTGATTCTGAATTATTTACCCCACTCACTTCATTAGGCCAGCTCAGAAGGGCAACTCTGCATACAAATGGCTTACAGGGTCTGAAACTCAGGGCCTACTTGGTAGATTTGATAAAAATGCAGCTGTAGTGGCTGCTTTAAATAAGATTGTGGTTAATAGCCAATAAACAGACACCTGCTACGGTTTTTTGCAGGTTATAAATCAGCTTCTGCTCCCTGCTACGTTTAGTGATGTCACAAACCACTTTAACAAACCTTGCTTATTAAATAGCATTCCTTTAATAAAATAACGGCTGTCTAGGGGAATTGGTAACAGAAGAGAGAACCTTTTCCATTTTAAGACGTGCAATCCTGCCAGATAATTAGATCCCATGCCTGTTTGATGGCAGATATGGAATGAGTTTGGTCTTGATCCAAGTTTGAGCAGATGTATTGCTAAAAATCAGAGTTGATAGACACCACTGTTGGCAAACTCAGGCAGGACGGTTGATGTTGAATTGATGATTCAAAACTGAACTCCTGTGTAGTCTGCAGATTATCTAGGGGTGGAGTTGAGTCATTTTGTATGGATTCTGTCAACAAATCATCACATTAAATTTTCTTTTATTGAATGTGGTACGTCAGGTTTCACAGCTGCTAAACGCATCCATTTACTCTGGAGAGGCAAAGGTGAGGTGTGTGCATTTTCTAATTGTGGTATTTGATATATAGCTCCCAGAAGAAGCACGAGGTGTGTGTGGTAAAACAGCTCAAGATGCGGGCACTCAGATACTCTGTGATATCGTACGTGGCTTTATCAAGCATAAATTAGTGGGCTTTTCATACAGTGCCAGCTGGGTGAAGTAAAAAGGGGCTGTGACACACGAGAGCAGGCCAGCATTCGGCTGAGCTCTCACCTTAAACTTGTGGCCGTTCTGGAGGTTGTTCCTTTTTCCCTTTATTCCACACATTACAACATTTACTGTGCGTTTTTTTATTGTTTTGGGGTTTTATATACTTTTCTGGCTTTGGTGCCCAGGAAGCATCACTAGCAGATGTTCTTCGGCATTTCCTAGGGTGTTTTTTTTTTTTTTTTTTGAGTTTTATTTGCTCTTTTGTAACTTCAGTTTAATTTGCAAATTGATTCCGTGTGGTTTTGTTAAATGGTACAACAGATTGTATCTGCTTGGGTATAAATCCACCTCTGCCATTTGCATGTAGATCCCTTTTTTTTCTTGTTTTATCATTGATAATGCAATGTATCTTTTTTTTTTTTTCTTACAATAACGGGTAGAAAGAATAGGATAGGTCTTCCATAGCTTATAGCAAGTCACTTTGTATAACTTCATCAAATACTTGGTTTAAATATCTGATGCTGTTAGGGATGTTCACGTCTGGAATTTGGCTACGTGATCCAGTGTATGCTGGAGAAAAGCTGTTTTAAAACTCTTTGCTTGGGAAACTGCTCGTGACCTCTGACTGAACACAGCACCTGCAGTTCGCAGTGTCTGTTTTTACCTGCCCCGTGTTTTTGGGGATTAAAAGTGATTTTTTTTTTAATGGTGGCTGTACCTTCCTGGTTCAAAGCTCCTCCTGGTGAAGGAGTGTTAGTAATAATCCAATAATGATACTTGAATGGCTCTCAACAAAAGGGCCTGCAGTACAAGTAGAAGTGGGAATTGTATGGGGTTTTTTTTGCAGTTTCATTCAGAAATCATTCATTGGAGGGTGTGACTGCACGTTCAGAAGATCAGAGTATGCCAAGGTTTTTTGAATAAAGAGTTGCATCGCAGCAGTTTTTCTTTAAAAAACCAAAAACAAACAAACAAAAAAACACGTCTTTGCATGAGTGTTCCTGGATGTAGCCCTCATCTGCGTGGAAAAATGGACTGGGGGAGTTTTCCGTTAGCCACAAGAGTGAGTGTGGATGTCTCATCAAGCATGACTAATGCAGGGTCTTCTCAGCACGTGGCTGGCCCATGCTAGTGCGTAAGGAGATAGATATGAAAGTGTGCAAGTGCATTTTGGTTACAATTCTTGATAAATTTGAAGGTAGCTACAACTCTAACTCAGTCTTGCCTCCTAACTCTTTTTTATTTAAATGGTGGTTTGCCTGGATAGCTTTTGATCAGTACCACTTGTCCTCAAGGAACGTGTACCCCAGCAATCAGTATACGAAGGAAGAAGTGCCCGGAGGAGGAGGAACGTAGAAACTGTACGTGTTGATTTGCTTTCCACCTGGACATGGCACGGAGAGTTTGCCTCCTTCAGTTCCTTCGAAAATTTCAAGGCAGGAAGTTAGCAATGTGTAATTTTTATTTTTTTTCTCCTCTTTTGCTGTGGCATTATCCTGACCCTGGCTAAAGCATCTGTCAGAAAGGTTTCATGGCCTGCAGCACTTAGCTCGGTCTCATAGGTTTTAGCAGAAACTGTCGTGGGTTTAATATGTTCCAACTGTTTTTTGGGACTTGTTGATTGTAACAGAACATTCTGGTAATTTCAGAGGCTCATGCAGTGCTTGGAGTCCTGGCCTGTCACCAGAATAGGTTTCACATGATTCATCCTGTTTCACTCGGCTTGTTTTGAAAAACAGCAAAGCCTTTAGGTGTCTAGAATCGTCGTGGAATGAATTCTGCTTCTCATTCCCTATCTTGGAATTCAGAGTTTTCTCAAGTTCCTTTTTCCAGGGTATTTTGTGATTCAGGCCGATTTCTGCAGCGTGGGGAAGCCACGTTGTAGCGAGCCAGTGGAAAGCTAATTTTCAGTTGGTAAGAGGACAATGTTTGCATCTGGATTAACTTTAGACTAGCATTCAGGTATGCTTTTGCAGTTGCAGTGAGATCTCGTTTTCATTATTATTGCAAGACCTTGGCTTGAGCTGTTCATCCTGGTGGAAATGTTGCAAGACCTTGGGCTGAACTCGCATCGTAATGTCAGCTCTCTTTGGCTGGGTATTGTCTGGAATTGGAAAAACAGGCTTTTTCTAGCCTTAACCCAACCCAAACTGGTTCTTTGCTGGGATTAGCTCCACAAACCAAAACGGGATCTGAATTTCAGGGCTTAAAATGACCCTGTGCACCTCGGCTTTAATATGCCTGGCTATATTTCATGAAGAAAGTCATTTCAGACCAGGCCTGTGCTAGCAGAAATGGTTAGAAACAGTTGTTTTCCTGTCTGAACTGTTGAAAATCTCATTTAATAATTTTATTTTCCCAGAGTCTAGGAGGGAACTAAAGCTTTCAGAGCCTACAGGAACGAGTATGGCTGGAAATCTCATTTCTTAGGAATTGAAATTCCGCGTCTCACCACAAGAAAGAGTTTGTTGAGACTCTTGCGGAGACAGAATAAAACAGATGGAAGGTGTTTGAACACTCTACGTCACCGCTTAGGGGTGGTTATTTCAAGAGGGAGAAATTTGCTACGTTATTGTTAAGGGCAGGGAGGTTTAGAGCCTCCTCTGTTTATTGTCTGAGGTATTTGAAAGGCTAAACTAACACACGCGTTTGTCTTCCCCTAAAGGTTCTGCCAATTCTTGAGATCCTGTACCACGTTGAAGAAAGGAATTCACACCATGTTTACATGGCTCTTATAATTCTGCTGATCCTTACCGAGGACGACGGCTTCAACCGATCCATTCACGAAGTGGTGAGTCGTTTTACTAAATAATTCTTCAGACCTAAAAATTGCTTAAATTTTTATTTACAAAGGTGCATCTGTGTCTCTTTTCTCAGCAGACAGTGTTTATGGGCTGGATGTGTTCATCCAGATTTGATGCCATGTATGGATTTCTTTTTTTAACTAATAAACTAGGACTAATAAACGACAGAGTCTTTTCAGATCATTCCTTACTGATGTGAACCAACGTGTTCCTGCTCCCGTTTCTCAAAGGAGATGCTGCATGCACATCCTTTTCTCTCTTTTTCGGTGTTTCCTGTCCCAGATTAGCATAGTGATAGCAAAGCAGGCTGTCTCAAAGATGTGTAGTGAGAAAATGGAGGGGATAGAAAGGAGAGAAAAAATGAAAACAAAATATTTCTCTCTAAAAACTTTCCTTAACCAGTTTGAAAGGAGTTTCTAGTTTGGAAAACAAACTTCCAACTAAATGTTGCTTCCTTACTTGGCATTTCTTTTCTGTCTTTCTGCTAGATTAATGTCTGTTTTATGCTGTCCACAAAATATGATCCAAATTTTGACTAGCTGTGATGGGCCTTGACCATCTGTGCTGGAGATGATAATGGGTGATAACATTCTAGTTTCCTAGCTTCTAAATCTAAGATAACACAGATGTCTGCACCGATTTTATTTACGTTCCTGCCTAGGAGGTGGAAACTGTCTTTTGGGGTTATGTGAAGTTATTGACATGCAAAAAGCAGGAAGCAAGTGTCCAGGTACCGAAATAAAACTTTTCTCCCAGGTGAATTTCCAGCCTGTTTTGGAGCAAATTGGCGTTTTTTCTTGGTGCCAAATGGTCAAGCCTTAACAATATTTATTCTCTGAAATCTCAGATTATTTTCTGTATATATAATTCTGTATGTGGAAAGTAAGAAGAGATGATACTTATATCAAATTCCCTGGGAGCACCTTTTAGGAAGCAGCTTTTAGAAAGAGCATTTACGGTAAGCATGCAGATGACCGAAACATTTTCCTGAAGACTTTCTTCTGCTTCAGGTTCATATGCCTTGAACCTCTACGTATGCACCATACGTGCATGTGTGTGACGTGTATATTCAAGTCACAAGGTCTTCTACATTATCTCATCATTATTTGAGCTTGTTGAGGGTTTAAGGTTTTTAAGTTTCACTCCTGTCCTCCATCATCTCTTTCCACGGTCTTCATTCATTTTAAAGGCTTTACACACAGTCTTTCAACAAATTCCTTACTGGATGAGTAAAAGTGGAAGATTTCCCTAACATTGTTAGTGAGGATCCAGCTGTGGAGTGAAAACATAAATCAAGTTTCCTTGTCCAGCTTATTCTTGCCATCACCACTAACCCTGCCAATATAGTTCTAGTGTTTTCTCTGTAATGTGGATGTTATTTTACTACTTCCATTTTAATTACAAAAATATCTGGTTCCTTTTACCCTATGCTGATTTTCTCAGCCCTGCCTTTGCTTCTTCCATTTTCTTCTCAACTAAATGTTTTACTTAAGGCTTTCACTGACTCTCTTTTATTCTATGGCTGTTCCTCCCTACTGCTCACTCCGTAGTGCCAGGTGAGAAGCATCCATTTGGTAGTGGTGCTGTGTGGCTAGGATTTAGCTATTTTTGCTCTTGGCTAGATAAGTGAGAGGTGGCTGAGAGGTCCCAGAGTCTGCGAGCCTGGGTATGTGAGCTTCTTTGTCACCCCGACTGTCTCCCCTCGGTCAAAATTTCCGTGGTGTACTCTGAGAAACACCTGAACGAAATGTGATAAATATAAGAGAGTTGATGGCAGTGATTCCTTTATTTATAGAAAAAAATACATTCTCTTATACTTCCTAAAAGTGACTTTCTTGATCAGTGGCATTTCTGAACTCTGTGGTGGGGTGTGGGTATCCAAAGACAAATGTGAGTGTTGCAGCTTAACTCGGGTGCTGTTGGCAAATGGATGTATTGGTAGTGGGATCTTACAGATCCCAGGATGTGGAAGAGACACTGTGCCTTACTTTACCTTTAAAAAAATGAAAATAAAAGGATACAAAATCATACTGATGCATCAATTCTCCTCACCTATGCTTTTGAATGATTTAGAGGCGCGTTTCCAGGTACGTATGACCAAATCACTACTCAAAAAGTAGAGTGTAATGTAATTTATGCCTTAAACTTTCCTACATCTTCACTCCACATGCCCTAAAGTCTGAGATGGTATTACAGGGAAGCAAAATAGTATGAATGGAGTTGGGAAAACGTTATGTGTTTTTGTCAAATGTAAACATCCAGCATCGGTTACACAACTAGAATGGGCTCTTGTTCACTGCAAAAACTTACCCCAAAAAAATTATTTTAACAAATACAGGAGATTTTTTTTCCATCGCTTGGGTAAAGTATGAAGAACAAAAGAATTTAACCCGTTTTTCTCTCTGTTGCTGTATATTCTGTGTAATGTTCTTATAAGCAGCATGACTGCACGGTCCATTTATGGGCTATTTTCCTTTGTGGTATTTCACCCACGCTTATTTATTGATTTTTGAGATTAATTTTAGTAAGCGCCGTTTTCTAAATCTTGTGATTATACTGACTGGTAAAGAGCTCAGGAAACCACAAAACTCTTTTTGACTGCTGAAGCATTTTTGTTGAAAATGAATGCGGTCTTAACCGCCTGGAAAATATGATCAAAACCATAGGTCCTGTTCCCACAATTGACTTAATGCAGTTAGGGCCCTGTAACTGTGTAGAGCTCAGTTTCTTTCACTAATAATAATAATAACAGGGTAAACGAGTAAATGCAAGAATTCCCCAAAGGGGGCAAGTATTGGTGATTTTTCTTTGCTGATTTATGAAACCGTAAATAAAAGGAGATCGGATGTCAAAATAACTTGGTGGAATACTTTCAGTGGCAGCAACCTACAGCACCACTCTAGTACTTTATGCCATAATAAACACCAATAGAGTGTAAATCACAATTTAAGTGTGTTCACTTTCATTGTGATAAGAAATATCTCAGAAGCAAAGTTATGGGAAACGGAGAATCTCAGTGCTTGGTACGTACAGAATTCAGCTCCAGTTCTTTGTGTCTGTGTTTTCTGCATGGTGTCCACGAGCCTGGTGTTAAAAAGGGCCCTTAATCAACCACTGCTGGTTAATTTTTTTCCTTAAAGAGGAGTGGACTGTTTAAAGATGGGGTTTTCTCAGAAATGGCAACTCGCTGGTGTAGCTTCATCCAAAAAGATTGCTCTTCTCTGAAAAGCTGCGTCGCTCCACGATGGATCTGGAGCTGTTCACCAGAGAGGTCTGCAGTAGGTCTCCAAGCAACCGTGAGCTGTGGGGAAACCCAGAATTAAATTTCTCAACCTCACAGGTTGGATTTCAGTGTAGGTCTTCCCAGAGCATTGGGCTTTCTTGGATGAATCTCGAAAAGAAAAAAAAAAAAGCTGTCACTTTTTAAGCTGTTGCGCATTGATGAGGGCATTGTCCAGATGCCTCCCGAACCTGATGAAAGAGCCTGCTGTGACAAAAACTAGGAGAAATTGCAAAGAGAACGAGGACAGGTCATAATAGGGAAGAGAGTAGGTAAGAGAGTTTGATTAATGATCAGTAGGATACTATTTTGAATGTCTCTTGCACTCTGAAAGAGGTTCAAGAGACAAATTTACGGTGAGAGTGAAGGTGGGAGGTAAATAAAAGAAAAGTTGTGGTTTTTTAAATAAAAAAAAAGAAAACCTCCAAAATTTTAAAGATCATACTTAGAAAATATTATCCTCTTCTAGAATAAGGCCTAGAGGATTCTTTTTTTCTACTTGGGTTTGCATCTTAATCTGTTGAATAAGAGTTTTGGTAAAACATATGTGTAATTTTGACTGTCTTGAATATTTATTTTTACTGACAGTATGATCTTACACAGTGCCTAGGGAAACTCTAGGGGAAATGCTGGGAAGACCTAGGGTCTTTAGGTTGCTCGAGTGCCTCTTGGGTCCTCAAAAAAAAACCACAAACACATAGTTGTGATGATCTTTCATGCTTTACAGACTGTGGTGTGCATCATCTGCTTAGTTCGTAAGGCTTTAATGTGATTAAATGTGATTTAATATTCTTACAAGACTCCTATATAGAATATTCATCTTCCCCTGTAAGAAAATGATCGTGTAATTAATGTTTTTAAAGCATCTTCAAACTGTGCTTTCATCTCACCTGTGCATATTTTATTTTTCTTTGGTTTTGTTTTTAATGCAGAGAGTGATTAGAATTATCAAGTTATACACTGGATCTTCAGTATCCTTCTGGACACAGATGTACGATTGGAAATATTTTTACATGCTATGGCAATTAGTCCCTTAGCCTCTAATAAAGAAGTGGATTATAAATATGGCACGGTTTCTGAGAGAAGAATGCATTAATACAGGGAAAATCCCTGTTTAAATGAGGTCATCTGCCAATTCTGAGTTTTGATTACCAGGGAATAAATAAATCAAGAATGAGGTGTCCTTAAAAGTTACTAAGTACAGCACCTTAATTAAGTTTTGACTGTTTATGTTGCTTGTTAAAGAGCTTGATCTTTGATTAGAGAGATATCCCTGTAGCTTGTGAGTCTTTCTAGAGTTTTTGGTGATGCTACAATTTTGGTTTCTATGGATAGAGGCATCAGGGTATTTCATATTGTGGCTGCAGCAGATGGGTTTTGAGAAACACCTGGAAATCTTTGATAAAAACTCCAGGTTTTGTTGCACGGTGACCCAAAACAACAGCAAATGGAAGAACTTCCCTGTCCAACTACCAAATGCAAATCTTAAAGGGAGTAAAGGTGCTTATGGTGGTGGAGTACCAGAAAATGGTCATGGACCATCAGAATAGGACTAAACAACAAAGATTTTTACTACAGGCTCTAGAGACCAATCTTGTTTTGGCAATAGTATGGGATAACTCATTTCTTTCCCGTTCTCAGGCAGTTCTATGATTCATAATTTCCATAATCGTTAAAAACCAAACCAAACTAGGATTTAAATATCTTCAGTGTGTGTAATGCTATGGGGAACAAAAGCCAACTTCAGTGGCTGATGGTATTTTTCATGATACATGAAGTTTCAATGAAACATCCTTTAAAATATCAAAGATAAAATCTATGCAGAGTGGTAGCCTTGCGTGGAATAGTCTTTGCTAAGCAAATCTTTGGTTGGACCCAGAATTATATAAATGCATAAAGAATTTTCATGGTTTTAGGACGCTTCTGTTTACTCCTTTACAGTTGGCTGCTGATAATTCTGGGTGTTGATTCTCTTCCTGCAATGAGCTCTGGAATAGGGGTAAAGCTCATTCTCCCTGCTCATGAAGAGCACAAAAGGATCTACAAGCTCTTAAAAGATTCGAGAAGGTCATCAGCTAGGTTAAGGGGAGACCACCTACGGCAGGAGAAGGCAAATATTAACCTGTTGATCTGCTCTGCATCCTTCAGCATGTGTGCACTTGCCAATCAGTAAGAGCTTGTATGTGCTGCCTCTTACCCAAATTGTAATTGGGGAGAACAGAAGGGAATTGGAAACCCTATGCAGGTGGCTAGGGTGGAAGTGGTGACAGAAGTGTAAAGGGTAAGATCGAAAAATATATCAAAATACGTCAAAAATACAGTATCAAATATCAAAAATAGAATATCAAAATATCTCCTACATCAAAAAATATAGGAGAGTGGTGGCACAGGGCATGGAAATTAAGGACTTGTGAAATCTGATCGTCTTTCTGCACTTAGTTTATATGACTTCAAATCAACTTGATGAGATTGACTAGATGATAATATTGCAATTTTTTTTTTAATTATTTCTTTAGAATGCAGTAGGTTTTGTCACATTTAAGGCTGGAAGTTAATTTACCTGTCTTAAGGAATGTGAGAGTGGACAGCTTTCTATGTTCTTATTCAGACCTAGGTGCTAAAGAACTCCTTTTTCTTCTTTTTCAGATACTGAAAAATATCACTTGGTACGCTGAGCGTGTTTTAACAGAGATCTCACTTGGGAGCCTCCTGATACTCGTTGTGATAAGAACCATCCAGTACAACATGACACGGACAAGGGTAAGAGTTACGTGGAGTGCTGAAGTACACAGTGTGGGTTTCAAACTTCAACAGAGTGATTTCAGTTTCAAACAGGGTGTGGGATTTTTCTTCGTTCTGTCGCAACCAGTTGGCATCTGAAGCTACGGGATGGAAGCAAAAGGGAAGAACAGTCATATTGACTAAGCATGGTATTATGTGGTTCTGAACTTGCAACACAATTTCTGTATTATTATATATTCAATTCATCAAATAACATTTGCTGAAGTCCTTAATTCAGGTACAGAATTCCCATCTTCAGATGAGAAGGAAAAGTTCCTTTGGCTGATGAGATGAAATGATGCCTGATAGGTTCTTTGCCTCTATTCAGTCACTGAGAAATGGAAATTCCGGGTCGATTTGTTAGTGTTTTTATGAAGTAGGATGGTGGCTGGGTCATGAGACCTTTCTAAGCTGTCACAGAGCAAAACTGCTTCAGTTTCAGAGCAGATTAGTTTTATGCATCTTTCGTGCATGTGATTCTAAACCTTATCTTGAACGTACAAGCTTGGTATTGCCTACTCTTAAATATTCTCAACGGTTAAATGCACAGAAGTTTTTACATGAAGTGGAAAAAAATGTTTTAAATACATTTTAAATTGGAAAACTTGAGGATTTCACGTTTGCAATCACAAGAATTAGAAGAAATGAGAAAGATCTTGACATATATTTCTAGGATATGGAATCTGTTATGTTCAAGCTTAAATGTATATTTTAGATCTGAAAATGGAAAATAAATCCCTGAACACTGATGCATAGAGGCTGGTCACCCTCAAGACTCGAAATAATGTCTGAACATGGCTGCATTTCTTTCCAAATTTGAATATAACGTTGCAAGTCCTGCTATTACTAGTAATACCAAGTCATTACGTGGATTTGAGATTAATTCTTCTTTTCCCTTTTGAGCAATGTCTCATTCCATGTTTACTTGTCTGCGGCCAAGATCAATTGGTACTAAAGGTTTCCATCTGACTGTGGACTCCGAAGTTTGGTTCTGTGAAAACCCTTGAATTCGATAGGGCCATCATTTAATTGCTTCTCTGGTCAAATGGTTTAAGGGATGGTAACAAAAGGAGCAGAAGCCTGAAGTATCTTGTAATAGTTGTAAGATACATATGGAATAGTTTCCGTATATATGGAAACAGAGAACTTCAGGATAAGACTACAAAATGGAGAGAGAGAAATGGAGAGGAGGAGAATTTCTTTCGTTATGCTACATCTGTGATATTTTTGTAAATTAATATTGCTTAAAATATGAAGATGTACACATGTAGATATGTCTATATGCATACACACTCTGAAATCTGTGTGAAATGACTCATAAGCCTGATTATCTAAAGAAAAAAATATTTAAAATACCACCAAGTATATGCACTTGGCAGTTTTGCTATATACTTTTGACCTCATCCTTTAAAGCAACACGTATCACTCTGTTGAGTGGTTTCCTGCAATAGGTGACAGTATTTATATATATATAAAAATAAATGAAAGTTTGATGTGTTTTTTTTTCCTCTTCCTTTCTGACAGGACAAATACCTTCATACAAATTGTCTGGCTGCCTTAGCAAATATGTCAGCGCAGTTCCGCTCTCTTCATCAGTACGCAGCTCAGAGGATCATCAGGTAAATATAAAACTTCTGAAATGGATTTCTCATCCTTGGTAAAACTCAGCAGCGGAGGAACTTGAATTTTATATGCTGTAATAGGTAATGCTGAAGTAAATAGCTGAAACTGTATCAGAGTAACTAGGTAATACAAGAATAAAAAATCATCTTTTTACTTGGATCTTTCCTGAATGCACAAAAATAATTAGTTTCTCTTATCTCAGAAATTTCTGACTTTTGATTCTCCTAACAAAATAGCATAGCAGCTGCTTTTAAACTGAAAGGTTTTCGGGGATTTGTGTAAATTACGCATTTTTAGTCATGTATCATGTTATAAAAATGCACTGTTGGCTCTCAAGTACTGGATTTTCAACTTGCTTGAGTTCTTCCTACACATTTGACAAACGATTTATTTCTTATGTCAGATGTAATGATTATTTTATGATGGGGTGCTGCAGATCTAGGCAATAAACCTACACTGATGCTTCTCGAGTGATCAAGTATATTAGCTCGTGTAGTAATAAATACTTGATTGATCATAGAATGGCTCAGGTTGGAAGGGACCTGAAAAACCACCCAGAGAAGTAGTTGAAGTTGGTCTTTTCCATTTGTGTGTTTGTGTGCTACAGCCCAGTTGGTAAAGGCAGGTAATCACGCGTCAGGCATCCTCATCTTGGCAGCCAACGCTGCTCCATGCTCCAAGGGAAATCAGGAAGGTCCTTATTAATGCAAGCTGGAATAAGCTCTTACAGTGCTTGTCAAGTCCAGACAGTGTGCCAAAAATAAGTACATGATAATTGCGTGCCTGTACACTTTGTAAAGGGCTCGGTTAACAAGAAACACATCTCATTCTTAAACCACTGCGATTTAGGATGTAATTCTCTCCTAGCCTCTTCTCTTTTGGAAATGCCTGGTTGCAAAAGTATCAACTTGTAATCAGGATGAGTGCTTTCCAATTTTATCTTTTACCTGTTTGATGCACGCACTCTTTTTGTACCCTGTGATAACGAGTGTTCAGAACTCGAGTTTGTGCTTTTTTGCTGCTGCATATTTCAGGCCTTGCCTTAAGTACCTGTACTCCTCGTGAACATCTGCTGTTCAAAATCTAAACTCGGGGTTCAAAGTAAACTCACCTGGATGGTTTTGAGTAGGTGATGAAATGACTTAAAGTCTGTGGTCTGCTAGCTTACCAGAAGACGTGGCAGCTGTCAGTAGAGAAGCAGTAACCTCAGTACTTCTACACATCTCGCCTCAACATTTTAACTCAGAAACATAAAAAGAGCCTTTATGTGCCGTGAGGCTCTTCCAGCCTCCTCACATGAAGTGTTCACCATCTGTAACTCAATCTTTGAAGCGGATTGACTCCGTGGTGCTTGAGAGCCAGCTCAAGACCCCAAGGAGGCTGTGTAACCCAATTAAATGATCTTGCACTCCTTCTATGCGGCATTTCAACATCTGTGGAGTTGGGGTGCGTTGTCATCCGTCTAGACGTGCGTAGTGGAAATGTGACTTCAATGTTGCTGCTTGATTTTAGTTGTGAAATAATTGTGCTGTTCCTACTGAAGGTATCATTCTGTTGCTGGATTCATGCAGTGAGGAGGAATAACAGTGAATGACATAAAATAGGAAAATAAAATATGTTCATCTTAAAAATAGGTAAATGTGGCTACCAACATCGTGATTTAATTTGTCACAGTAGTCATGATTGCTTATAAAGCAAAATACCTTAATATAAAATGAATTAAATTCTGTTGTAAAATGTCTCGTACAGCTAGGAGTTGGGCTTGCTGGTGAAAGGAGGAGTTGGTTCCAGAAGCAGGCTGTGGACTTCGCCGCTCATATGGTTGAATTTTCATTTCAGGAGCTTTCAGCCAGAGTTTCCCTGGCAGGCTTAAGTACCGTGATGGAAATAGTTTAGCTTTATTTCTTGTCAAGATACATACTTTTAAAATAATAATAAAATAGTTGTGGTTATTAAGAAAAATAATAGGAATAAATATTTATGAACACATTTCGTACGAGATTAATGCTTTGAAGCATACATTGTCCTTTCTTTTTCTATCTTACAAAGTCACAGGTTTTAAATTTAGCCAGCACCGATGGACCCAACTTGCTCCATGATCCCAAAGTAGAATATTTTTATTTAGATTCTTATTCTGATTCTACTATCGGAATGCAAGCTTGTGTGAGAATATAAACCACACTACCCTTAATTCAAAACAAACAAACAAAAACTACACCACTTTCTCTGTGAAGACCAAAAAGATGACAGTACTTTACGAGTAAGTATTTTAGGGTGTAGGTTTTTCGATTAAATAGCTGTGAAATACTTAACTTAAAATCTGCTTAGCAATACAAATGAATAGACAGTCATAATTTAAGCCTCACCAGATGCTCTAACGAGCCCTTCCTTAATGTGAGAAGTAATTCCATTTCCGTGCAAGCTTTTTCCTAATCCTATTCTGAGCAGAAATTGCCAATTGTTCTAAATTCTTAAGACTATTTTCTGTGAAAGAATTAGCTGAAAATATTCAATATATTACACTTATGATCTCGGTAAAATACAACTTCATAATCTTGGGTAATTTGTTTCACATTCCAGCAGGCATAAAAATTGTCAGATTTGTATGAATTTATCACAAGCAGCTGCGGGAAGTAAAAATAGATGTAAAAGAGGGTTTGTAATAAGATCCAGGGTGGTATTCATTTAATGTTGGATGTGTAGACTTTGTGTGTACTGAAATCTTTCCCCTTTTCTGTCCATTGTTAGCACTGGTTTGGTTTTCATTACACAGAGCTGTTTTATCAGCGATGTGCCATGGATATTATTCCACTGTGCTGTGACTCTATCGAGTGCTGACATTTGTAGTATTTATAAATTATATTAGTAGACTTACTAAAGAAATGGTAACAAAATGAAGAAAAAAAACCTATGTTGAAGACACTGTTGTCACAGATGATGAGGCTGCAGTATCTAAGCAACAAAACCCAGCCAGGTGGAGTGCTACGTACCTGCTGCGAGGTTTTTTTCCTTTGCTTGCTGCATTGGACAGCTTCTCTGCTGTCGGATTCATTTGTTCTGCTTTGTTCTACAGGTACAATTAACCACAAAGTGAAACGAGAAACCTAAGTGATGTGTTATCGCAGGTATTCAGTTTGGCCCTTAAAACCACAAGCTCCTGGGCATTAATTTCTTGATCCTATTTGGAGAGGGTTTTTATGACATTCAGCTTGTCTACAGCTAGCCCGCCTGCTCTAGGATGTGGCACGCTTGCAAATGAAGAAGTCTTCCCCTGAACAGCAGTATTTTGACATCTCATCACTGAGTCATTCTAGTAAATTACTGACAAAAAGAGGACGGATTACCTAAGGCAAATGTTTTTCCTCCATCTCTATGGCTCCGTGTGTAGGAATGTTTGCTGTTTCCTAAGCAGGCATATACCACTAGAGGTTGCCATACACCTTGCTAATCAGACGTGCACATTTAACATTAAACGAATTTATGGGGCTAATTCCACCTTTTTCCTATGCTATTGTAACAGCTCTTTATGTGCGTGGCTGTGTGACCCACTATGAACACTTTTCCCCTTTAGATAACCTAAGAGAAATATCAAGAGGTGGCACAATTTTACCTGTATCACGTTTCTTTGATTTCTTTTGCTGTCTGGAGACTTCAGCTTGTTTCACCTCCCCAACCAAACCATTTGTTTTGTGCTTTACTGTGTGTATTATTTGATTTTATTTTATTTTTTACTATCATTTCATCTTATGGGATATTCTCGAATTAAAATATTTATGAAAGCTCTTTAGGAATAAGAGTGCATCGTGTTGCTTTAAACTGCACCTTTTGAGTCTGTTTAAAGACCATTTTTAATCCAGTGTCATCTCGAAGTTTGTCTTGAATCTTTAGAAATATTAATATTAATTACCAGCTGTAAATAGCATCAATTGGCAAATTTCATACTGGCCGAAAAGAAAACTTTCTGAGTTAGTGCTAGGAATACACGTGGCAGGACTGCAAACTGTATTCCCCATCACAGTGCTCTTTTGACTTGATTTATGCCTAAAGAAATCTCTGAATTTTCTTAATAGATGTATGTGGTTGTGTGTTTTATAGTGCTATAGAAACCACGTAGCTGGTTTGTTGAAATACGGAGTAATTTGAATCTAGAATCTAATGATTTTACCGACTCCAGATTAAAACGTGAGCTATAGAAACATTTGCTCTGAAGGTTTTCTTCCATCTTCATGATTTTTTAATCACTTAAATTCGTGCCTTGCTCCTAGGTACTGGTAAACTGCTTGAATGCTTGGCTTTGCAGAAATGAATACTGATTTATTTGCAGAACAAGTTCACTGCTTATCCAAGAACGGGTTCGTTTACAATACAAATATGTGCTGGGATGGTCAATCTGATTTTTGGTTAGTGCACAATGTCCCTCATTGTAGTGGTCATTGTTCTTGCAGTGTTTTTATTTGTCATCCTCGTAGAATGGCACATCTTTGTAATGCTCCTGAGGTAATTTGATGGAGTGCTAGACCATTTATCTTCCCTTAGTATTGTTTCTGCCTACCTTATTAAGGGTCTTACATAATCAGATTAATTTGTCACATTATCAGTTGTTATATTCTATTCTTAAAAGAAGAGGGCGTGTTACTTGCCTCCTCTTTCCCCTAGACGATCAGTTGTTGCTTTTTTTTTTTTTTTATGAATTAGGAACAAGGAGAAAATTAATCATATATTTCACATCTTCTTGTGTTTGGCAGACTGATGCTGGACTCTGTAATGCATCTGTTCATTAGGTGTGGTACCCTGGCCTTTTTTTCCTGGCTTGTGACTATTAAAAGTGTTTTCTTACTTATTTTATATATAATATATAGGTGAAGTGTTGTTTTTTTTTAAATATGTAGGTGAGCTCACTTAACCTAACTTAACTCCTTAAAATGAGAGCCAAAAGAAGAGCTGAGGCTGAGAAACACGTTCACATCCCTGCCTTGTAAGTTTGAAATCCTATTTG